CTCTCGCCGGATTCTCTCTCTCAACGTCGGTTGAAGCTGCATAGCACTGACACTGGCACTAGTACTCCCCGAAACTGCTATGGGAAGTGCATCAATCGCCTGAAGCTGCATCCGGGCAAACTCCTGAATCAATGGACTCTGCTGAGTAATGATGTACGTCAAATCACCCCTCACCTTTCGGCTTAGGGCGTCAGCAACGACGTTCGCCTTCCCCGGATGATACTGAATAGAGCAGTCGTAATCTTTGACGAGCTCTAACCAACGGCGCTGTCTCATGTTGAGCTCCTTCTGAGTAAAGATATACTGCAAGCTCTTATGATCTGTGAGAATCTCACAATGACCGCCGTAAAGATAGTGTCGCCAAATCTTGAGAGCATGAACGACTGCGGCTAATTCCAAGTCGTGCGTCGGATAGTTCTGCTCATGAGGCTTAAGCTGACGTGAAGCATACGCGATGACCTGGCCATCCTGCATAAGGACACATCCCAAGCCCTGTCTCGAAGCATCGCTGAAGAAGGTAAAACTTCGAGAAGGATCGGGAATAGTCAACACCGGTGTTGAAGTTAATCTCCTCTTGAGCTCCTGAAAGCTCGACTCACATCGGTCAGTCCATTCGAACTTCACAGACTTCCTCGTCAGCTAGGATAGAGGGAGGGAAATCTTGGAAAAGCCCTCGATAAACCTGCGATAGTAACCAGCTAGACCGAGAAAACTTCGAACCTCGGACGGACTCCTCGATGTCGACCAGTTTTGAACGGCTGAGACCTTGGAAGGATCCACCTCGATACCTGCCTGAGTAATCACATGACCCGGAAAAGATACTCGCTGGAGCCAGAACTCGCATTTGGAGAATTTTGCAAACAACTTTTCTCATCTGAGGGTTTCGAGAACCACCCTCAGATGCTCCTCGTGCTCCTTCTAGCTCTTCGAGTAGATAAGAATATCGTCAATAAAGACAATAACGAACTGATCGAGGTAGGGATGGAAAATACGATTCATGAGGTCCATGAAAACTGTTGGCGCATTGCTGAGACCGAATGGCATGACGACAAACTCGTAATGGCCGTAACGAGTCCTGAAGGCGGTCTTAGCGATATCTGACTCCGTAATCTTCAGCTGGTGGTAGCCTGATCGTAAATCAATCTTTGAGAATACACAGGCTCCCCTCAACTGATCAAATAAGTCGTCGATCCTGGGAAGCGGGTACTTGTTCTTGATCGTCAACCGGTTAAGATCCCAGTAGTCGATACACATGCGCATGGATTCGTCCTTCTTCTTAACAAAGAGAACGGGTGCTCCCCAAGGTGACACGCTCGGTCGGATGAAACCGAGTCGTAACAGCTCCTGAATCTGAGTCTTAAGCTCCTGCAACTCCTTTGGCGCCATGCGGTACGGGGCTTTGGATACTGGACCGGCTCCTGGAATGAGATCGATAGAGAACTCCACCTGTCGGTTAGGCGGTCCTCCTGGAAGCTCGTCTGGGAACACGTCCACGAACTCACGAACAACTGGAACATCGTGAGGTGAGCGTGCTTTCTGAGAATCGTCGACAAGGCTCACCAGATAACCCTGGCAGTTGCCTCGTCGCAGCAACTTAGTGGCTTTAGCCATCGAAACAACATGAGGCAAAGAACAATTTATGGAGCCGAAGAAAGTGATCAACTCATCTCCCGGAAGATACAGAGTAATCTCCCGGTCGTGGCATCTGATATCTGCATGATAAAAGGATAGCCAATCCATTCCGAGAATAAGATCGAAATCCCTCATCTCGAGAACAAACGCGTCGGTAGACAATACTCGGCCACCGATGGAAAGGCTAAGATCTGAAGCTTTGGCTGAAGTTATTATCTTTCGTCCCGAGGCCAAACTCACCTCAAGAGGATCGATAGCGGTAGTAGCGCGAACTCTGATGGCATCAAGACATCGTCGTGAAATGAAAGAATGTGTCGCTCCAGTATCGAATAAAGCAAACACAGGAACATTATTAAGAATAACCATCCCTGACATGGTACCTGGCTGCTGTTCGTCCTCAGCCTGATCAACGGCGCAAACTCGGGCCTGCTGTCTGCCCCTCTGCTGCTGCTGCTGAGGCTGCCTCTGTGCCTGCTGACGGGGCTGCTGCTGCTGCGGTGGATGCTGAGGCTGCTGAGGCTGTTGCGCCTTCTTCAGACAACGGTTCGCGAAGTGTCCGGGCTCATGACAGTAGTAGCATACATCCTGACCAAAGCGACACTCGCCTCGGTGAAGTCATCCGCATGTCGGGCACTGTGGGATTTGCTGTAGCCTCCGTCGGGTCCTCTTATCTGTCGGGGCACCTTTCCCCTTCCTCTTGTTGTTCTTCGGTGGCTGGGCAGATGGTAAAGCTGGCATCGGTGGAACTGAAGATGACTGAGCAGGGGCGGATGGCTGGAACTGATCACGGACGGCCTCCCTCCTAATGCTGGCGTCCACCTCCTGGGCAATAGAAACTGCACGTGCGTACGTCTGTGTCCCGTGGCCTACGATGTTATGACGGAATGCTGGGTAAAGCATGTCAATGAAACGCTGTGCTCGCTGGGCCTCCGTGCAGACCAAATCAGGAGCGAAAGCTGCAAGTCTAGTGAACTCCCTCTCGTACTCGTCAACAGTACGAATACCCTGCTGGAGCGATAGAAACTGACGCTCCATCTCTGCTCGGTAGTATGTGGGATAGTACTTCTCGCGGATTAACTCCTTGAACATCTCCCACGTACATCCCACCTTCTCACCAGGACGCATGCTCCAGTAAGCGTTCCACCAGAGCCTGGCATCACCGGTGAGCTGAAGCTGAGCGCAAACAACGCGATATCTCTCAGGGCACTCCATGACCTCGAAGATAAACTCCAGGCCCTGAATCCATTCGTCTACTATGCGAGGATCTCCCTGCCCTGAGAACTTTTCGGCATGATAGTCGCGGAACTGGGCGACTACTGTAGCCTGAGTAGGAGCCGGATGATCGGGTTCCCTACGTGGCGGCATCTGAACATTGAGAAAGTTCAAAATTATTAAACACTGATTACTAAGGCACACAGATCTCTTGACGAGTTGCCAAAAATGGCCGATATATACTGACGTGAAACCTGAGGAACTCTAGAGTCATATCAAAAGATACTAAAGTTTAGAGTCATGCCTGAGTATACTGATCTCTAAAGTCAGGTCTGAATATAATGAATTCTAGAGTTATATCGGAACTCTAAAGTCTGAATCTGATTCGAGCATCTTAGCTAAGTCTGGTTACTGATTTCTGAGCATAGACAAAGTAATATGTTTATAACTGAAAACTGAATCAGCACTTACCTGGAGTCGGCGAGGCGTGAGCGTGATGGTTCAGGTCTTTCTGAAAATTACTGACTGAAAAATTTTTCAGAGACGCAGAAACGTGCTCTGATACCAATTGTAACACCCCGACTTTTTAATATATCAGAGTACGCGATTTTTCGCAATTTTCTGAATAAATAAATAAAATACTTATTTTTTTTGTGAAAACTGATTCAGGATGCTACAGTGAAAAACTTGATTTTTCTAAAAACCTTTAAAATTTTAAACTGATAAATAAAAACGGTTATACTGTCTTATCCGACTAATGTCGGAACAAAAAACTGAAAATGAGTACTGAAAGTTTTAGCGGAAGCAAAACGTGGCAAAATATATATACAATAATCACAAATATCCTGAACAGCCCGCTCGCTCACTCCTCGTCTCCGACCCTGCGACCTGAAAAACATGAAATGCATGGGGGCGTGAGCACTAAAACACTTGTGCTCCGCAGAAACTCATACTAATGTAAACATCGTAAATAATAACAATATCATGAACTAAGCATATATAACTGAACTGAAACTGATATCTGATACCGTTCTGATCTCGCGATATAAGTCACGTAACTGATAACTGAAATCTGTCGGCACAAACTAATACCGCAATCTGCCGGCACAAACTAATATCGGACCATGTGCACACTCAAGTGGTTAGATTAGGCCACTAGAACCCAGAATGGACCGGCGACCATTCCGAGCGCATACTGAATATACATATCTCGAACATGGTAGCGTAATTAAAAACAATGTAGTACTT